GTGGGGCAAGTCCCACAGAGAGAAGCACCCAGAAGCAGCGCCTGTTCGTCACCCTCAGGCGGGGGAAGGGGTGCTTTGGCTGTGAGACATGGCAGCAGCCCTGGTGGTGCCCTCAGTAGGCAGCCCCCAGCTAACTGAAAGGCTGCTGCCCAGAGGTGCAGCGGAAGAAAGGCCTGCAGCTCTGCTTCTGAAAAGCCTGCCACTGACAGCCTATGGGGCGCAGCTCTGCTCCCACCCACAGCATTTCAGTAACCAGTGGTTTCTTTTCTTGCTTTTCACCAAAATTCTAGACATCCTCCCAAAGCCAATGGCAGAACTCGGCCCTCCACCACCACACAAACTCCTGTGAGGAGCGTGTTCCATGGCAACATCATTGAGGAGAGCCAAGGACCAGAAACAGCTCAGATGCCCAGAAGTCAAGAACTTGAAAGCTACAGTACGGCCTGTTCACACCACCCAACCGCTCACAGCTCCTGCAGCCCCAGGGCGTGTCCACGAGCTGCTGACAGAAAGGTGCCCCAGGGGACGCAGCATGTGCGACGCCAGGCAGGGCGCGTGACACCATTTGGTTCAAGTGCTCGCTTCCCTACATCGTGTGGGACATCTCTGGAAGGATACACGCAACGCTTGCCCCGGGGAGGAGGACTGGTGACTCAGGTCACCAGTGAGAAGCCACGTTTCACTGCACGTGTTTTCCATGTCCTTGGCTGCTGTATCCCTGGCACACATTACTTAGTCAATAAATAAGTCAGGTCAGAGCTTACACTGTTGCAAGCTACTGGGGCCACTCTCCCTAAAAGATCCAAAATCTACCAGTAGAACCTGCTGAAAGCTGTGAAAATAAACACACAATCCGAATTTTGTAAAAAAATAAGTCAGGTTAGGAACAAAAAAGAGCAGTATTTTTCGACCTGAAGAAAATTCACGATATACAGCTAACAAGAAAAGTACAGAGATGTCCGGCCCACAGCCGAAAAAAGTAAAGTGAAAATAAAACCAGAACATGACCCTAAGTATGTGCATCATGTTTGCATGCCCATGAAAGGCTGTTAACGTTGGCTACCGCGCAGGCGTGCAGGGAGGAAGGGAAGAGAAAGGGCAGGCGACACTGGTTTAAAAATACCCACCCACTGAACATTTACATCAGGCAGATCCGCTCCCTGGAGCAAGCAATTGTGGGAGAACAGACGGCCAGTGCTTGGGAGACAGCTTGGGGGGCAGGAGTCCATGGGAGGGAAGGACACAGGGAAGAGGAACTAGGGGGAGGAAGTGGGAGAGGAGCTGTCACATTGTGGGAATTGCAATCAATGTCATGAGACAAAATGTGTATGAACTGCTGTTGCTCTGTAAACTTTCACCCAAATCACAAGGGAAAAAAAAAAAAAAAAACACCCATTGCCTCTAGTCAATTCCGACTCAGCACCTCTACAGGACAGAGGTGCTTGGAAACCCTATAGGGTTCCCAAGACTTAGTTTATAGGGAAGCAGACAGCCACATCTTTCTCCCATGGAGCAGGTGGTGGGTTCAAACCCCTGACCTTTTGATTAGCAGCCGAGCGCTTAACCACGGTGCCACCAAGGCACCTTGCTTGAAAAATAAGGGCTATGAATCCTCTGACACCTTCTGCTGAGATGGGGTCTGTGTCCCCTGGGACCTGGGCGGGCTCTGCCTGTTGCAACAGGTGTCATCTGCAGCAATGCACAGGACCTTCAAGGCCGGGTCACACAGGGCTGGCAGCTGCTTTGTGGCCTGGCAAGCCAGCTCTGAGTGCCCTCTTGGGTTGCTCCCTCTAGGTACATGGCTGCCATGCTGTGGCGAAGCCCAAGCCTCACGAAGAGGCCTTGTGTGGGTTCTGGTGAACCGTCCCCAATGAGCTCAGCCTTGGAGTCAGTCTGGCCCAGGCACCAGACACGTGAGTCAAGGCATTTGCAGCCAGGATTCCAGCCTCTCTCCTTCCCCCGGCGCCCCGTCCCAGTGAGTGCAGAGATCACATCCCCCCTGAGCCCTGTCCAAATTCCTGACCCCAGAACCTGTGAGCTTGATAAAATGGTACTCCTGGGCTGGGGTGCTTGTCCCTCATCTCAGTGACTCGGTGAAGGGGCACAGGGATGGCCCATCTGAACCCAGCCCTGCTGCAGCCCCTGGCTGTGGGGAGAAGAGGCTACCCCCACTGCTGACGGACTCTGAGGAAGGACAAAACACTCAGGGCCAGCTAGCCCACGTGACACACTGCTCTCTGAAGAGCCTCAGCCCTGAATTCTCAGCGGCCGTTTGGGGGACGTCTGTCCCAACAGGTCAGGGACTGCTGGCAGGAGGGACAGGGCGTGGGGCACATTTGACTCACAGGACAACGGACCGGTTGTCAGGTGGGTCCGGCAGGGGAGGTGGCTCCTCGGGCTCTGGGGGTCCAGTAGGGGACACAGACTCTCTCACACCTGTGGGAGACAAGGAGGGAGCAAATCAAACCATGAGACACATGCCCGCCACACATGCTCACCCCCAAGTCCTCCTGAGAACCCCCGGGGGAGGAAACCGAGGCCACATGGCCTCCCCGCCGTCAGGCACCACAGACCCTGCAGTGGGCGAAGCAGGCAAAGACCTCTGCCCGTCGGGCTGATGACAGGTGTCCCGGTCAAATTCAAGGCCAACACCTCCAACGAGGTCACACTGAGGTACTGAGCCAGCACTCTGGTGTGCATGCACCTTGACCGTAAACCACTGTGCAAATGGGGACTTGCAACCAGTGCTCAAGGGAGCCTGTTCATCACAGCTGGAAGGTGGAGACAAGCCAAGCATCCGTCGGCAAGGGATGGATCAACGGTGTGGTCTGCACACACCACGGGATGTTACTCAGACACAAAGAGAAAAGAAGTCCTGACACGCCACGACAGGAATACTCCTCCAACGTGCCGCTGAGTGAGGTCAGTCACGAAAAGACAGACACTGTGGGATCCCGTTCTGGTTCCCTAGGGCTGCTCTGACAAGGATATGCTACAAATGGGATGCTTGGACAGGAGTTTATTCTCTCACAGTTCAGGAGGCTAGATGTCCGAGTTCAAAGTGCCAGGCTCTAAGGGCTGGGTGAAAGCCCCTCGACCTTGGGCTTCAGCTCTGCCTCCTGCTCCCGGCCCACTGAAGGTAGAGGCATCTTTCACTCAGGCAGCTGCTGGCTGCCAAGGCTAACAAGACCAAGGTCGACAAATAAAATGGCACAGTCCTGATGTTACCAAACCACATGGCAGGCTGTTAATTCAAGTCCGTTGAAAGTCCCAAGTTCGGCAGAGCATGGCAGGCCGCTGAACAACATACACGGCTACATGCAGGGTCCAAGGTGCCATAAGCTAGAGACCATGCCCAAAGCTGCTGCTTATATACAGGAGGCAGACCATACCCCCTAAGGCAGCTACTCAGCTGCTCACAGTAGATTCCACCACAGAGTTGATTACCAGTCTCTCATGGGGAATACTACATCCAGGTGCCCAGACACTCAACCAAGCCCAGCCAAGTTGACACATAGACTTAACCACCACAGATCTCAATCATGAGCAATCTAGAACTGCAAGACGCACTCAGACTTCGCCTCTGATCTCGCTATTTGAGGAGGGTGTGTCTCCCTGGAACACTGGGCAAGGGCTTGTCTGTCTGACCTGCCAATGTCCCTAGCAGAGAGGAGTTTCCAGGGCCAGACTCAGGACGTAACATCACTCTATAGGTCCCTATCAGGTTACCCTGGGGACCCACATACCTCAGTGGTTTAGTTTCTCGTCTGCACAGGGGGGTGAGAACACCATCTACAGGGTGTGCTGCGTTCTGCCTGGGCCTGGGGTCGGGTTCAGGACCCTAGTTCTGATTCATGGGGTGGCTGTGGACCCTGCCTGGGGCCCGGGTCTGGTGTCACATCCAGGACCACCGTTGTGACTCTGGGTGTTGGGCGGCTGTGGACCCCTCCTGGGGCCCGTGGTGCTTGGAGTGAAGACTGGACATGTGGGGCCAGGATCCTAACTCATTGGATCTCTGCCTGGGCTGGGGCTTCTGGTCCACCCTGGGGGACCCCCGTGCCTCTGCGGATTCCCAGTGTGCAGTGCTCACCATACAGCTGCCAGACACGCACGCGGTCCTCATAGGGCAGCCTGTAGCGCAGTGGGTCACCCACCGGGCCCTGGTAGTATGGCCGCATGATGGACTGGGCGGTGGCGACGTGGCTCAATCCGATGGCGTGGCCAAACTCATGGACAGCTACCGCGAACAGGTCCATTCCGTCGGCATCTGGGGGAGAGTGGCCATGTGAGTCAGGGCCTGAGAGAGGGGTGGGAGTCCACACACCCTTGGGACGGGCAGTGTCACAGAACTAGGGCCGTGCAGTGGGCGTGATGGCAGGTCCCCAGCATGCAGCCAAAGAGCACAATTCCTGCTCAGGTGGGTGCTGCAAGGTCTGCAGGGGCTTCTCAGGCCAGGTGCCTGTCACCCAGACGTGTGTGTCACTCAGTGGGATTGGCCTTTCTGCACAGGCTGGACCATGCTGGCCACATGCCCATGCGGCCCTCAGACCCTCCCACTAGGCACTGGGCTGTGAGGTGCGTGAAGTAGCCCTGGCCGTCTCCTGCCTTTCTGGGACTGGAGGGGCCCCTCCCACCATGGGAGGTGCACAGACCCCTCTGGCAGTCCCGACGCACCCGAGGAGCGGAAGGTCCACGCCTCGTCATCGTCAAAGTGGGCGTCCCCTGCAGCGTGGTGGGTGCCGGGGAGGAAGGCATGGGCCACAGTGCCACCAGGGCCGTCGAAGGGGTAGCCATCATTGTGGTCAGCCCTGGAGAAGTCGATCTGGATGTCAGCCGAGCTGCCCGCCACCTCGTGGAAGTTAAGCGGTGCGATGTCGCTCCAGACTTTGAGGGCGTAGTACATGAGTGCCCGCACCGTGTCACGGCCCAGGGGCGAGTCCTGTGGGAATGTCCGGACCCTGTGTGGGGGGAGTGGAGGCGTGTACATGTGAACACACAGAGCCTGGTCCCCACACCCGGCAAAGCGCCCTCGCCGTCAGCCCACCGAGGTAAGCACGGCCCACAGAGCTTTCTCTCAGCGTCTCCCTCAGAGGGACACACATGTCCCAATGGCAGGCACACAGCCCTCTCTGCTCCCACTTTTCTAGGAACCACGGCCGACCTCCCAGGCCCGGGAGGGTGCCGGGAGCCCACCCAGGATGGACAAGCCTCCACAGACGGGAGAAGGCGATGTCCAGGTGGGCCATCAAACCAGTAAGAGCCCCACCCATCTGCCTGACCTATCCACTCTCAGTGGTCATGGGCTCACACATTAACCAGACCCCTGAGCCAGCTCCAACCCGGCGATAGCAGAGGGCTGAGGAGTGTCCCCCAAAATCCACATCCATCCAGCACCTCAGGGTACCACCGGTTGGGAAACAGGATCTTGGCAGACAGGATTCGGTCGATCGAGACGTGGTTATCCTGGGTTAGGAGGCCCTGGCCCAATGAGCCAAGCCCAACCACCTGCTGTTGCGTCAGTCCGACTCACTCGAGAAACTGCTCTGCAGGTCTCGGGGCTGAGCACTGGGAGGCAGACCACAGGCCTCTCTTCTGAGGTGCCTGTGGGCACTTGAACCTCCAACCTCTGGTTAGCAGCTGAGTGCGTTAGCCATCTGCAGTACCAGAACTCTCAAAGTCCAACGAGAGTGTCCTTACAAGGAACCGGAAGGACACAGACACATGGAGGCAGAGACTGGGGCGCTCACCCACGAGCTGAGAAGCTACAAGAGATGAGGAAGGACCCTCCCCTAGACTCTGCAGAACCAGCCCTGACGACACCCTGGTGGGCGTCTCGCCTCTTGGGGAGAGCAGGAGCCCTGCTGTTACAAGCCCCCAGTTTGTGCAGATGTGGCAGCCGAGCCCCAGGATCTATCTATCCCCCACTCCTGTACCCACCTCCAGGAAAGGTTCCTCTTGTTCCACTTGGTCGGGGTGGGGACCTGGCGCCTGCGTCGTGTGGGGGCTGCGGAGGGGAGGTCGGGGAGGGAACAGCGCGGGGTCTTCATCAGAGCCAGGGTGGCCTCGTCTGTGGGAGTGAACAGGGGTCAGGCCATTCCCCAAGCACGGCTGCTCCCTCCCTCCCACACTGGTCTGGGGTGGACGAAGCCCCGCCGCCAGCTACGTGGGCCCTGTTGTGAGTTCCCACTTCTGGAGGGTATACGTTCATGGACCTGGACCGGGTGACCTCCAAAACGGCTACTAATGTATGGCATGGGTGCTGGCCAATCAGAAGGGTCACCCATAGAGGCCTGACCAATTAGAATGGTCCCCAGCAGAGCCCTGACCAATCAGAAAGGGCAATGGCTGAGCTCAGACCAATCAGAATGATCACCAGCAGAGACCTGAGCAATCAGTAAGGGCATGGTTGAGACCTGACCCAATCAATATGGCCATCAGCAGAGCCCTGACCAGTCAGGAGTGTGGCTGAGCTGGTGTGTGCCTCCAAGTGGCACATTGTGGCCAAGGCTCCCTTTGTTCCTGCTCCTCCAGTGACCCACATCCGCCCACTTCTCTGTGGTACACACAGGTGTCTAGTGCTGCAAAGGCCTGGGAGAGGTGCTTGGTCAGCCAGCCCTGCAGATGTCTTTACAGAACCAGAGCTCGGGGCCACGGTTAGGAAGCAGGGTGCCTTATGAACACCTTGCCTTCTGGCCACTTTCTCCTGGGAGTTGCAAGCTCTGGAGGCACTGGGCACCACTGCACAGGGTGGGCCTCAGGGGGCCCTGGGTGGTGGACCTGGGAGGCCTGGGTGACTCCAGTGGCCTGGCCCCATGGGCACCAAGCTTTGGATTCTGCTGCAGAGCAGGGCCCAGATGCTGTGGGATGACGACTAGGTCTCACATTCCCAGCCGCACCTCCCATGCAGCGGGGAGAGGGGACAGCTCAGGGTGGGGTGCTGGAGAAATGAGGAGCGAGGTGTCAGGCTGCTAGCCCCACCCCTGCCCTCCCCGAGGACTCACCCAGCACACCGGTGGCCTCCAGGCCCCCAAACCTCTGCATAGCAGCGATGGCCTTTGACAGCTCCTCTTGCGTCTGCAGCTGCCCTGTGGCAGGGTCTGCGGAGGGCAGGTAACCGAACCTGCTCAGCCACTCCTGTGGGCAAAGAGCCAAGTGAGGGGCGGGGCTTGACCCCTCGGAGCAGCCACCTCCGCCAACTGCCCACAAGGCACCTGTCGCCTCTTCCTGAGGCACCTTCCAGGTGCTGGGGAGAGCATCTAGATGTACTCAGTGGGCCTCGGGCAGGGCTAGCCTGTGCAGTGCGCAGCCTGGGCAACAGCCTACAGCGGCCGCCCGGCTCTCTCCTCCCTGAGGTAGCAAAGGGCCCGGGGCAGGCTGCAGGAAGTGGGAGTAAAGGCTCCTAAACCACACAGTGGTGATGCCAGCGATGAGGGTGTGGAGCAGCCCCCGGCCCCGGCCCCAGCCCCTCCAGGGCTCCCCGGCAGCCACTCTTCTGGGCCCCGGGAGACCCTGGCCAGCCCTGGGCGCCTGAGGGCCTCTGAGAGCTTTCCAAGCGTTTTCACAAGGCGAGTCTGACCGGGGGCCCGAGTGGCCTGCCACAAAAACAGCGCCGCTGAGCCAGGCCAGTGGTCACGTTCATTCCTTCACTCTCTTTTGGTCCCCTCCTCACACCTGGACCCTGCAGGCTGTGGGATGGCAAGGGCCACCTCCTGGAGACCCCCAGGGGAAGTCCAAGGGCAGCCTGACAACAGGACGAGCCCGTGATGGGCTTGGGGGTGCAGGCAGCACCAGCCTTTGAGGATTCCACCCCCTCCCACGCCCTGGGCCTCGGCAGAGGCTCCTGTGTTCCGTCTCTCAGCAGTCAGCCCCCAGGCGGCCAGGAACCCATCTCAGTGGGAGGGGGTCCCTGAGGGGGCATCTCACACGCCAGAGCTCTCCCGGTGGCTGGCTAACACATGCTGTGGGGATAGGTGAGCCGATCCAGGCTGCCAGGTGGCAGTGAGGTTACCCAGGCTACAACAGCTGCCCACAGGGCTGAGGGATTCCCATCCCTGAGAATCTTGGGCAAATGTGGCCGGCAGCACCCCCCTGCCTGCCTCCTGAGGCGAGCACCCTCGCCTCGCTCCTCCCCCAACTGCTGTGGTGCCTGGGGCATGGACCCCCCATTTCAGGTGTCCCCCACCCTGCCCCCGGTACCTTCAGCGTGCGGCTGACTGCGTGCCAGGTCCGTGGTGACCCAGCCACTCCCACCCGCCGTCTGGTCCTGCCTCTGCTGTCGCCAGGCGACCGCGGTCTCCAGGGCAACAGGAGGCTGCTGCCGGGGAGGGCGGTGCTACGCAGGCGACGGGTGAACCTTCCAGAAGGCCACTGGGAGGGGCCGGGCTGCCTCAAGAGGGCGAGGGGAGTGGGAGGGAGACCCCAGCGGCCCTCAGGGAACCCCCAAGGACTGTGAGCAGGCCATTACTGCAGATGGGGACACCATGGCCCAGGAGGCAGGTCCACATTAGGTCTGCGGCGGCCTCTGACACGGCGGGCTCCTGCCTCCTCCTGGTGGTGTTGCCTGTCACGTTTATCACCACTGTCATAACGTGTTTCTTTTATTGCTTCAACAAGGTGTAATTTAAGTAGCGTAAAACTCCACTCGGTGATTTTAGTAAATTTTACATTAGTGCAACCATCACCCCCACCAAGTCCCCTCGGTGAGTTTGGAGGGCAGAGGGAAAGGAGCAGAGATGGGGGTTGGAGGGACGGCAGGACAGAGAGGGGCTCTGGGGAGACGGGGTGGAGGAAGGGCCAGCGCGTCGGGGCTGCGATAAGCTCTTGCTGGGCGGGCGCCAGGCACGGGGATGGGTATCTCATTTAGTTCCCACGACAAGCCCACAGGCAACACTGCTGTCAGACCTGTTTCACAGTAGCACAGTGAGGCCGGCTGACCTGCTGCTGAGTGTGGGGCAGGCCCCGAGGGTGAGGAGAGAGACTTGGGCCACCCCGAGCCTGGGCTTTCTCAGGACCCATCCCGCAGCTCCTGCCGGGCACTGCCTGGGCCTGGGCGTGGGGTGAGGCAGCCCTTGGCCCAGTTTCTGCAGCTCTGCCTGGAGACATGGGCACTGGTGCCCAAGCTCACCTTCTTCACGCCCCCTGTGTGACTGACTCTGACCATGTGGGGGGTTTAACGGAGAGCAGGGGCCGGGTACCCATTTCACAGTGAAAGATAACGAGGCTCCGAGGTTTCAGAGGGGCAGTGGCAGAGCCCGGGTTCCCAGACCTCCAGCCTCGGAACCCCACAAAGCTGTCTCAGGGCCCCAGGAGCCCCCGAGCATGGTCCTCACCCCACCACCGTCCTCCTCGTGGGAGTGCAGCCCCAACAGGGCAGTGCATGGCAGCCCCCATGGCAGGTGCCACTGTGGCCACGGGGCCCACAGACTCTCTTGCCTTGTCTACATCAGGGCGTACTCTGGACCCCCCTGGCTGTCCGACCAGCTGTCCGTCTAACACATCTTCATGGGGCACCCACTGTGCCAAGTACTGGGGGGATCCTGAGATCCCAGCCCACTGTCAGAGAGCTGCCAGTCCCGTGGGATGCTGAGTGATAAACAAGCAGACTGTGAGGATAAGCGTCTTGGTGACGTCTCACGTGTCCTCAATCCCTCTATGTGACACTGATGGCTGAGCGCCCAGAGGACCCTCCCGGAAGCCGTGCACGTGCAGGGCCTGCCTCGGTGCTGCGGCAGCACCTGGCACACAGCAGGCTTGCACGAGCACTGGCCAGACGGTGAACCTCAGCCGGTGGCCACGTTCATCCCCTGCATCTGCTCAGAGGAAACAGGCCCAGAGAGGCCAGGCCAAAGGCACACGAGTAAGAGGCAGAGCTGGGGCTGGCCCTGTGAGGTGGGACGTCGGGGAGGATACGCGGCGGGGGGGGGGGGAGCTCCATGCCAAAGATGAGAGGTAGCTGGCGGGACAGCTGGCGGGCAGGACCTGTGGAAGTGTTCCTGGCAGGAAGCACAGCAAGGGCACACAGCCTGGGGCAGGAGCCGGCCGGGGCTGTCCTGGGGTCACCAGGAAGCTGGTGAGGTTGGAGAAGGACTAGAGAAGTAGGTGGGGCCGGTCACGTGGGGCCAGTAAGGCGCTGGGATTGGATTTGAAGCCAGACCCTGCAGCTGCCAGACCACTGCACCTCCCTCTGGGTAGCGGAGCAGGACCCCCAACAGACAGACGGTGTGAGGGTGGCCCTGCATCCCTGGAGCCTGGCACGCAGCAGGCATCAGCTGAGGTGACAGGGGCACCCCCCTCCCGTCTGCCGCACAGATCTGCACCTCACATCCACACTTAACGGGGAGGTGGATGACCCTGGGGAGCCCCTGTGCTGGGACTGCGGGGAGAGCACCCGCCAGGCCGCCACGTGCACTGGCGTCTCCCCTCCCGCCCCACCCGGCTGGGAACAGATGGACAGACAGCAGTGCCTTCTGCCAGCCACAGCTGGACATGATGTGGGAGCAGTGCCAGTCCTCCCTCACGGGGCCCCCATTTACAGATGGGGGCACTGAGGCACAGGGCTGGCCAGTCACAGAGCCCGGCCTGTGCTGAGGGGCTACTCTGAGGCAAACGACATATCGTAGCCCGTCACACTGTGTGACGTGGGCAGGGCTGCAGGGGAGGGGGCCTCTGACTCTCTCTCTCACTTGGTGGATGCCTGCACCATGTCACCGATGCCAGCTACCTTGTTTTTGGCTCAGCCTGTTGACTGACAGTGCCAGGGCGCCCAGGCCACTCACACGCAGGGACATGCCTACCCAAGCCAGATTTACAAAACCCTGAGGGCCGATGGCCACAGAGGCTATGGCTGGGGCCAGGTGTAGAAGTCATCCTGTCCCTCTTCTGGATGCCCCAGAGAGGGGGTGAGGGCTCATACAAGGACCTGGCTTCCACCCCAACACCCGGCCCCCAGGCCACCTGGGCTGCTCTGCCTGATGAGCCTGAGACGCCTCCCCTGCTCGTCCCTGGCACCAACAAAGGCCAGCACACCGACACCCCAACCCAAAACGAACGATCCCCCTATAGCAGGGAGGTGAGGATGGGGGTGGGGATGGGGCAGCCCACCCACAGGACGAGGTAGTGAGAAAATGTGATTGTGCTGGACTGGAAATCAGGAGAAACTTGGGAGATGCCTGCAAACGTCCCAAAACCTAACGTTCACACAGTCACCGGGGACGGCCGCCCCGTCGAGTACCAGAAACGGCCATCTGTGCCCCTTGCCCAGCGACGTAACACTCGTGAAAGAAGTGTGGAGCCGAGGGCAGAAGGAACGAGGCCAGGACGCTGGCCTGTGGGGTGTTCTCCAGGCAGATGCCACACGCTGCAGAATGGGAGGGACTGGCCACATAGTCTCACAGGCAAACAGTCTGCAGAAACTACCCAAAACTAGTAAGAGTATGTTCCCTGGGCCAGAGGTGTGCGGCTGACACCCCCTGAAGGCCCTCTGTGGGCTGGGACAGGGTACTGAGGGTTTTACCTACTAAAGAAACGAAACAGCCCAGGCCGCTCTTTTGTCCCCGCGGCGCACAGGCCAGCCACGGCGGGGGTCACTCCACGCTTTGTCAGTCTGCTAATATCTGCGCACAGCTGGGGGTGTGGGGTTGGCCACAAGACGCTGGCGCAATCCTATCTGGAGAGCTGGGTCTGCTTACAAAGGGTCCTTGTCCTGGCTGCAGCCCCAGACTGTCCGCACAGTAGGCCCCTTGCCGGCCCCTTCCGGCTCCCACGCGCACACTGTGCCGTTCCCCGGGCGGCCACCAGGGGCCACCCTCCGCCCACGGACCATGGGAGGCTGCTCTCCCTCCGGGGAGGCTCCAGCTTCTCGGGCTCCGCCGCCCTGCCCCTGGCGCCTGCGCCTCCACCAACCGGCAGGACCCACGGGCGCCCCGGCCTGCTCCCAAGCCCAGTGGCGCCCTTGCACCAGCTGTGGCGGATGGCCAGGGGCCCGGCGTCCAGAACCGGGGAGAGCGATCTGGCTGCAGGTGCAGCGTCCCCTGTGATGGGGGGACGGGAAAGTTCAGGGCAGCCCGGGCCTGAGCGCACGCTGGGCAGGGATACAAGCACCTCCACCGCTGGCCCAACTCTGACCGGCC